TACTAGTGAAGAAGTAACTCAACCACAACACCAAGTCAGCAATGAACCCACCTTCTAACGCACCAATCAAGCATCTAGTCACATAAAATCCAGCTTTACCCTTTAATGCCGCCTGCGACATAGCAACGATACTCCACGCACAAATCTGCATGGGGATGAAAATATCGGGTCCCAAAGCCTTTGAGATCAACTGAGAAGGCACCTCCGCCGCCAAGAAACTACATGTGAAGATTATGTTTCCCACGTTGAAGTCATTGGTGTTCAATCCCAAGTCTTGCAAGAAGTTGTCGGAAACAGCTTGACTCAAATTACCTCTGTCAACTTGCAAACTGACAAACAAGAGACACGCAGTGAATGCGACTCTCCAGTTCAATTTCATGACAACCTTCTTTTCCTCCTCCTCTGTCCATTCAAATGTGGGGTCGAATGCGGAGTAACTCTCGTACCCTGATTTGGTGTACAAGTCACGATAGTACTCTTCCACTTGCGGGTCCAAGAAGGGGTTCTTCTTCAATTGGTCGCTCTCTGATGAGAGGTTGGATGAGACTTGGGTGATTGTCTGCTTGTCGAATGTCTTCAATGGATCTGCATCGTTGACCGAAGTGTATGAGTTGGAGGATGAGATTGAGTCGTTAGTTGGCCTGCGTTGATTCCCCATGTTTGCGAGTAATGGTTGGGTGTCGTTGGGAGATTTTGAGGTTTTGTAATGCAACAGCTTTTGCCAGATGGAGTTGTGTGATGCAGAGCGATCTGTATTTATAGTGGACCCAGACATAATGGCTGCTTTCAAAATGAACTAACCCTTCCCACAGTTGTAACAATACTTCCCAACTAGTTAGTAGATGGGTGTGGATGCATACTTAATCTAAGCGCTTAAAGTCACTGCATAAATTTCATTGTTCCATTCGGGGTGTTTGTTAAATTAATCGTTGTTAAAAAAAAGTGTGGTTTTCAATTTACGATGATGTTATGTATTGTTCTCATCGTTCAATAATGTGGCTGTAATATGTAACCAAGGCGAAAATTCTTTGGAGTTGCAAGTTAAGGACGCCTTTTACATCTTCGACACATACGAGGCAATGTATATGCACCATCTAAGGTTGCCAACCCATTCATTTAAATAGAAATGCTTGTTACGGTGAGAATAAGCGATGTCTCAACGTTTGGTTGCGAAAGAATTGCACCACAGTACACACAGTAGAGCAGGTACCGTAAGCACAGTATTTTTTTTTTTTTCTCTAAACTCTAGGGATTTGATCACGTGCGGATCAAGGAGTGATAAGTACCCGCCACATATACAGAATTGCGTAATCGGCGTAGTTAATCGCCTGATCGAGATTAGCGAAAAGAGCGGAAACATTTAAAAAGTTGGATCCTTTATGAACTTTGCAGTGTAGTGTATATCAAAAGTGTTTTGAAGTGGTTTGCCAGGAGCCGGCTCTCTGTAGCGGCTTGCCAGAAGCTGCTAATTTGTGGTAGTTATCAAAATCACATAATGGTCAAACTACTACAAATTTCTATTTCTTATCTATAAACATTAATGATCAAATCTAAAATCTAGTCTCTTGTTAGCTTCGTCCGTCGTTGTTTCTCTATAAGTCTGCCTTTCTTCCTCACTCATTGCATTCCAAATCTTATCTTTACTCTTGTTTCTCCAAATATAATACCCCTTAGCAAGTATCAAAATCGGAATGAGGATCAAAGAAATGACAAACAACTGCATGTTACCTCTTTTGTACAAGGGCTTGTCATCATCACGATAGACATTGTTACCGATAATGCTACTCAACTGGACAAACATGTTGTACAATGCGGAACAAATGGATCTGTTTCTAACCGAATTGG